AAATAAATAAATAAATTTAATATTATATATATTATTTTGTAATATTTTTTGTTGTTGTAAACAGTGAAGCTTAAGTATATTTTTGAATTATATATTTATTTGAATAATATATGTAGTTTCGACCTTATAAAAAATAAAAATAAATACAATTATAACCAAAATATATTTCATATTATATATTTAGATAATACTATATAAATATTTTAATATATATATAATTTATTAATTAGTTGTAAACAGTTAAGCTTAATGAAATATATTTTCGAATTGAAAATATATTTAGTTCCAACCTTCATATACTAAATAATAATAATAAATATGGCCAAAATATATTTTATCTATCTATCTATCTATCTTAGAATATATAATACATTGTTGTACACAGTGAAGCAAATTTTTGAATTGAAAATATATTTAGTTTCGACCTTCATATACCAAAATATATTTAATGTGTTTCAGGGGCAAGAAAATACAGTTTTATAAAGTTTTTCTTCAAATGTGACACATTAATGTATTTTTTGGATTGAAATATATGGAGAGAATTAAAAAATATATATATATATTAATTATTTTTTAAATATATTTTCAAAAATATAGACAGAGTGGTCAAACATAATGGTAGTAAATATATTTAGAAATATATATATATTTAAAAAATATATATAAATTGTTTTTGTTGACTTTAATTCCATGCAATGTCCTTTATTTTTGGAAAAATGATATATAGAAATGTACAGGAAATAGAAATTTGGCACAAAAATTAGTGAGGGTCTCCCATTTTAGCTACTAACTAAGCCAAATTTTTTTTTTAAATATATAAATTGTTTTTTTTTACTTTTATTCCATGCAATGTCCTTTATTTGTGGAAAAACGTGCATGCACAAAAACAATTTGTGTGCATGAATAAATATTTTGTTGCACTACATCTCAGCTATGTATGAATAAAAGTGCAGTATGTTATCAAAATGTTCCATTTGTGATTCTGCTCATCGTGTTTTTGTACCTCGATGTATTTGCCGTCAGCAGAGAAATCCAGCTGGATCACAAATCCAGGAATATCTTTGCAGTAGCCGATCCGGTTTAGAGACGGCCCCAGAGTCAGATCGTAGAAATCGACAGCGCACTCCACCGAGCCGACAGCCAGCAGCCGGTTATCAGAGCTGAACCTGCGTGAGAAACACCTGCGTGAGGAAAAACCTGTGCTTTTATGATCATGTGTTTTGTTGTGTATTAGCCATGCAGCATCTCTTCTGACCGTATGTCCTGAATGGCCACGCTGCGGTCTCTCTTCTTGCCCCATACGGTCAGAGAATTCACCAGCAGCACGATGAACTCTCCGTTCTCCATCCC